CCCGGGCGCTCCGGGAGTCTCCCGCTCCTGGCCGCCAAGGAGAGAAACACTGCTTTTTTTTTTTATGCTGACATGGAGCCGTTGGCTGTCTTCAGAATAAAAAAAAATTAATTCACCATAGAAATGCATTGCTAGATTCCTATTGGCTATTTCAACTTTTTTTTGACGGCAGCAGAATCGCCGGCCAATAGAACAGTTGGGTGGAGCTGGCTGTCACTGCTAGCTCTGCACAATCGTTTTCTATTTATTTTTTTGTACTACCACGCGAAACCACCCGATGTACAGCTGAAGTGAATAGCCGAACAGCATTCGGCTCACTTCGCTTCAGATTGGTTGTTCACTCGGCTGCCTACGGCAGCTTAGTGAATAGACCCCAAAGACATGTCAGGTGTAAAATGCTACCCAATGCAAAGAGCTGCTGTATAGAGACAAGCTGAAGTAGCATTTTAGAAGTCTTGACTGAAAATAAAAAAATAACAAAATTCTTATCTAGTAAGTATCAAAAATGATGACAGAAGTATAGAAAAAAAGAAAAAAATTGAAAAGCGCTTAACCTCCTGAGACATTAACATGATGTTTGGAGGCAGGGTTATACAGTGAGCTGGCTTAATGTTTTATTATTTTGCCAGTTTCAAGACCTCCTGAAGGCAGCAGTATAACCCAATTGTCTATAAATCCCTACTATCTTGTGTCTCTCAATGGGTGATTAAAAATGATAAGACTAAGAATATCCTAATATGCAAAAAGTAGTTAGTTGACAAGCACAGTGCATGACATTTATGAATAGTAGTAGTTTTATTTGTAAACAGCTTCCGTGGAGATGTCAGAAAATCCTCTTGTTAAGTGTCTGACCGCACGTACAATTTTACTTTAGGGCTTGATAACTGAGCAGATGCCAGAGATGCCAGATATCTGATACCAGGCAGAGTGACTAAATGAGCAGAGTGCCAGCATCTTGCCTGACGAAACTGTGACCTAAACTTGAACTAGCTGAGTGTGATAAAATCATGGACCCTGTACATTCAAATAAAATCTGCAATTGCAAGTCCAATTATTATTTTTGTTTTCACAAAGAAATGTCTCTGCTAAAATAAATATAAAAATAAAAGTAAAAAGCTGTAAATTCTACCAAGATATATGCATGTATATTCTACCCTATACTTATTGTACAGGAAATAAAATGGAGTTTTAGATTCTGCCTGTAGTTTCAGCCAGATATAGTGCTGACATGGTCAACATAGTAATATAGAAGGTTCAATATTTTGGGAGGAAGGAGTGATAAAGAAGTGGTGTTGTATTTCAACTAAAACATTTATCTTGAAAGTAAAATAAATAAATGATATATTAGGATGTTCGCCAAATGGTTTCATAGTAATGAAGGTGGTGGGCAGGTTTAGTATTTGGCTTCTCTCTGTTCTTTAGTGTACCTTCCTCCTCTTACACCACGTGCACAGCGCCCCCAGAGAACTAACCTCTGCAGGGTGCACTGGGTAGGAGGTGATGTCACCAGAGGGAGGAGGAAGCAGGCAGAGAAGCCTCAAACTCCAGGCTCAGTCCCTCCTCGTTTCTGCATGTCCTTGCAAAGGTGACAAAGAGGAGCCGTGGTGGCGTATGCAGTGGCTAGCTTGCTAAAAAGTGCAGTGTCTGGGGTGTTGAGGTGCAGTTGTAGGGGTGCTGGGAGGCCGGGGGGTTCAGAGTCTGGGGTGCAGTTGTAGGGGTGCTAGCTGCCAAAAAGGTGCTGTATCTGCGATGTTGGAGTACAGTGTCATGGCTGCGTGGAGGCAGGGAGGTTCAGATTTAGGGGAGTACAGTGGTAGGGGTGCTGGGTGGCAGCAAAATACAATGTCAAAGTGCCACAGCTTGGGTTATTCATAGGCCAGAATGCAAAAGTTGTCTTCATATAAGTCTGCATGTAGACTTCTCTAACTGAGCACCACCTGATCTAGTGTAGGCTTCTAGACTGCATTGCCCACTAATTTAAGATAAATGCAGGGGGTTTAGTAATCATGGGAAAAGGGGGTCATTAGAATTAAGTTATTTGGATGTATAGTTAGCCTTAAGACCCACTTCTGACCTGTGTGTTTTACTGCAACAGTAAAACATATCTTAGTCATATCATAGTCTTAATATTTTGATCTGCACTGCTGGCCATGTGATGTGTGGACTATGAGGACTTAGGAAAGGGCTTCCAATATGGCAGACAGTATCAGCTTTACATATGTTATAGGAAACTTCCAGCTTATTAAATCTGAATTGCTATGTTATATGTTTAAGATACTAGAAGAGTTTAAAAAGTTGGACGCTTTTATTGTTAAAAGAATGGTCATGCAATGTTTTGGAAAACACATACAGAAATGCTTTATAATTGAATTTAAAGGATAAAGATATGTTTTTGTAAACAGCATTTCTGAATTGCTCACCACCCTTCCATCCCTCGTGCTGATCTTACACTCTCCTTCTGCTCCACCGTATACCCACACAGTTCTGGGAAATAGTCCACCGGCGTTCTGCCACAATGTTTACCTATAGCCGGTATGTCTTAAACTCCCTACTGCCTGCATGTGTGCATTATAAACTTAAAGACTCATATAAGGCCAGGAGACTAATCTCTCTCCCAACTCCATAGAATTCTATGGGGCTCTGCTGTTCATGTGTAGGAGGCAGGATTCGGACCCGACATTTCGTGATAGTGCTGCTGATCTCTGCAATCTTCTCACATACCAGCAATCATCACCCAGCACAGGAAGTCACCCATCCCTAATAACTTATCTGCATCACTCTTCTATAGATTGTATCACATGCAGCAGCCACAAGTAAATTTTTAGCGATGGGAGACTTTCTGTCCTGGGAGCTGATTGTCAGTATCTGCAAAGATCACTGCAGGTTAGAGAAGATCAGTAGCACTGTCACTGAATGCAAGTATCTGCTCTGGGGTAGTGCAGAGTGTTTGGCATATGGTGCCAATAGCTGGCGCATGTGCAGTAATTGCAGGAATGTACCATCTAGAGGAATGTCAGAAGTATGTCAGACATATATTTTGGCTGGCTTGAATTTAAACATGAATGCTTAGATTTGCAGCATCCGGGTCCACGCCCCAGTCCGCAACAGATCAACAAGTCCTAGACAATTAGTGTTATGGGTGCCCAGGACCTACCTCTAGACCGTTATGAGTGTGACATATAGCATGGAAAAAAAAAACCAGCTCAAGATAGAGATGAGGGTTCAGAATGGCAATCATGCAACTAGGAATTTCAGACGGAGAATAAGCAATGGTCTCCCTCTATGTATCTCTCTTGACAGGTTTCCATAGAACCTGGCATACTGAAATCTCCAAAGCATAATGTATAGTTAAACTAAACACAATTTATAGACCATCTAAACCACACGCACATCACTTAGAATATATATGCAACATAGTTAATGTGAAATGTTTAACATGTTTACATTCTATTCTTAATTTATCTAAATTCTTTACTTCTGCTCAGCAATTGCGCCATGAAAACCTGGTAAATTTATTAGAAGTGTGCAAGAAAAAGAAACGGTGGTATTTAGTCTTTGAATTTGTGGATCGGACAGTGCTTGACGACCTTGAACAGTTTCCCAGTGGATTGGACTTCAACCGAGTACGAAAGTATTTGTTTCAGATTATCAGAGGAATTGGATTTTGCCACAGTCACAATGTAAGTAGCACAATAGTGCAACTTGTTGCCAGCAAGTATCTTTTAATGACGTGTTATTTATTGTTTCCCCTAGCATAGACCTACAATACCTAATTCAAAGCCTGACAAAGACCTAAATTAACGTTGACCTGGTAAAGGCAAGAAAGTAGATTAACACTGCAATCTGAGTGGGAGATGTAATGCTAAGTAGTGATGACTGGGAGGACTAACCTTAACCAGTATTTAACCTGAGTGTATACCCGTACTTAGCTATTGTGCCCGGTGGAAAGTGCCCTCGGGTGCTTTTCACTGCACTAAACAAAATTGTCTTATGCAGATGTACATTCCAGGACTGCGGGTCATACAGCTGAATTAACTTGATAAGGTAGTGGGTGAAAGGGATGCTTTAGCTACTTTTTAGGCTGCAATGAACTCAGTTAATGGTATCCAGGTCTTGGTCAGTCTCCAAAGGCCTGTGTGGCCCTATCTTAGCGAGTGTGTAAATGTAAAACCCCTATCTGACCAATTTACCACAGTTATACGTTTTAAAAATGGTGGAGTGGTATTCCTGAGCGCTGTTTTTAAACAGTGCTCTGCTACGACTTTTATGCATACCCAGCACATGCACAATGCCGCTTTCATTAACTAGCTCAGATACCAGGCAAACTTCGCAGAGCCAACCAGAGTGGCTCTGTGCCCTGTATTTCTGCAATGGCCAATCACAGCAATCAAAAAATGTAGACACTTTAGATGTTTACATTGGAGAGTCCTCCCCTTCCTCCCACAAAGAAGGAAGTGGAGGAAGGAGTATTTGTGAAGGACTTGGATTTCACAAATGAAGGGAAACACAGTAACCCCCTCATCTTCATCCTTTGACTGTATGTGAACTGTACATTAACCTCCTTCTCCCCTGTGCATGAATGATGCCTTGTATATGTGAACTTTTACCAAGCTCTATGTTTTATCCAGCTCAATAACAGGATGTTTTTTCATTTACAAAGAAATTGAATGAAAAAAAGAGATCACTGTGGGGGTGTCTAGTTTTCAAAAGGGGTAATTTTGGGGGTGTTTGAACTGTCCTAGGATTTGTATTTGATGTTTTATAGCAAAAATTAAGTGAAGGTTTTTTTTCAAAATTGTTGGTGTTTTTTACTTTCTTTAGTAAAAAAAAATAAAAATAAAACCTAGTCATTGGTTATTAAATGCTGCCAAAAGAAAGCTCTAGCTGTCTCAAAAAATGGAAAATCATATGGGTACAGTGCATGGCGGAGTAATTGTCAAACTATTGCAACACTGAAAAATGGCCTGGTTTTAAAGAAAACCTCAATAAAGCAAACTAAGACTAGTGCTACACAGATGGCACAATAAGGTGCCTGCTCCCACATTGGCAGCACCACCCACCTCCCCAATCTACTGCTAAAGAAAACTAGTATATGTGTGTCCCATAACTATACAGCAGTGTGTCAAAGAGGCAGGGTGGCTTTGGCAGAGAAGTAGCAGGACATTTTTTCTGCCTGTTGTACACTGCTGGTCAATGTTGGCTTTATACAACTTTGATAAGGCTCATCTATATATTAACATAAAGGAGTATATAGCTCCCGTAGGCCTCTAGTAATCAATAGCAGGAGCTGTGTCTCAGTGTTGCACACATTATTTGGCAGGCTGGGTACCAGAGAAATACAGTAGTTTATTACACATAACCACTATACATTATTCTATGGTTGTGCTACTATCCTAGACTTGGGAAATCTCTAAATTGAAATCTCTACAGTGCAGTTTCATGATGGGTTAAGTTTCCCCTTGTCTCCAATTAGTTAAATTAATTTTTACATAAATGACTTAGGAAGAGTGCACTGGACTATGTACTTGAATGTTCACTTACATTTGTTTTCACATGCACTGTATCCTTTGCTTTGCCAGGCTGTTACTACCGTACAGCTATAGGCAAAGTAAATAGGTGTGTGTGTGTTTGGGTGGGAGGAAGTTGTATAAAGCTGGTAATCACTGTGATTGAAAATGTCCATAATACCCAATGGTCATTCAATATCTAACAATGGTTTTATAAAGATTGATTTGCATCAAAACTCTGCTACTTGTAGTGACTGATTTAAAATAGGCTTATACAGTACACTGTTTTCTAATAAACTGATAAGCACATGGATGGAGATACATAAATATCCCATAGAAGGGGTCAACCATGGCTGCAGAAATCATCCTGAGAACAAAATGTTCGTAGGCTACACTCAACTCTACTTATCTATTAACCCCTTCGTGACTGACGACGTACAGTGTACGTCGCCAGCATCGGGGCTGTTTAAACAGACTCCCGGCGACTTTTGCCGCCGGGACTCTGTTTACCCAATATAGCTCACACAGGCCTACAAATTCTGACAGCCCAGTAACACATTTCAGAACTGCTACATTGCCGCTCTAGATCTGCCACATCATTCTGCATGACAGTCTTTATATAGAAACCCTAGATGATTTGGATTTGTAGTAAAGTGCACTACATGTGCTGTGGTGCCATTCATTTAAAAAAAAATTTTTGTAAATACCTCCAGTATTACCTACGTATTGGCAAAACAGTCATGTCTAGTCTTTTTTTAGATCGAATAACAATACATGACAAATAACAGCCAGTCATCTAAACCCCCACCCCTCTTACCACTGCCAGCCACCCCAACAATCTACCAGTCCTCCTCTGCCCCCACCTGGCCTCAACGCTTTTTTTTCTTTTTTTAATAAAGGACTTATTTCAACTATGTCTGTATCAACAGCATACTAACAATAACAGTTACACACAAGAGCGTTAGTAAAATCTTTACCTTCCTAAAAAGATGTCATGGCAACGCCACAAACAAAATTGTACCGCCTCCACCCACCATGAAGCACTTTAGAATAATCATTATAGGTGTTGTTACGGAAGAAAAAAATAATAAAATGTACTATTTCTGTCATGCTTTTTAAACTTAACTCTACTTCTTTGTCTAGATTATCCATCGGGACATAAAGCCAGAAAACATATTGGTGTCCCATTCTGGGGTGGTAAAATTGTGTGATTTTGGATTTGCTCGTACATTGGCTGCCCCGGGGGAGGTTTACACAGATTACGTGGCCACACGATGGTACAGAGCACCAGAGCTTTTGGTTGGGGACATCAAATACGGAAAGTAAGACGATTTTGCAATAATGTACAATAGTATAAGTTTCTGGATTGTGAAAGGTTTTCACTAACTAGTACTGTTGTACTTCTCTTTTCAGAGCTGTTGATATATGGGCAATTGGTTGCTTGGTAACAGAAATGCTGACTGGAGAACCACTTTTTCCTGGAGATTCGGATATTGATCAATTATACCATATCATTAAATGCCAAGGTACATTTAATTTAATTTTATATTTGTAAAACAAAATTAACAGAATTTTTTAAACAAATGGTAATGGGGCATTCATGATTATCTGCTTTATGGTATGGCTTAAAGAGGGACTCCATGAATTAACATAATTAACCCCTGCAGTGGGGATACTTTTTTTTAATTGGAAGTTCTTTAAATAATTGTATTTTCCCCTACAGTGGAACTACATGGTTATGGTTATAATTAGGGATGCACCGATATATCGGCCGCTGAAACATATCGGCCGAAAATGGCACTTTTGGCATAATGCCGAAAGTCCCATTTTTCCTGCCGATACATCAGCGCATCCCTGGTTTCTTTTCTCCCCGCTGGGCGCTGTTCCAGCGGGGAGAAAAGCCGGCCGGCCGAGCGCTGCAGGACGAGAGCGCTGTGAACGGCCGGCGTCTCTCCTCCCACACCGCTCAGCCGCCTATCACAGTCCGGCAGATCGGTGTGGGGGCGGAGACAGCGCTGTCACAGGAGGCTGGGCTCTCCTCTCTACACCGCTCGATCAGCCTCCTGTGACAGCGTGTCAGAGAGGAGAGCAAGGTACACACACTCAGTGATCAGTGATCGCTGAGTGTGTGTACATGATTGAGGATATGGTATGTTAACTATATCCTCAATTATGAATGAATGGGAGTGATCTCTATCACCCCCATTCATTCATAATTGTAGTTATAGTACAGTATGTGTTCCTGTTTCTAAAAAAAAAGGTGGAAGGGCTACAGTAATATGTCTGGCAGCATCTAACTAGTGAGAAGACTCATATCTGCAGCAGCTTTCCAACAGGTTATGGGCCCAGCTACAGTCAAAGTACTAAATATTGCTGCAGTGTAGATTAGGGTTGCCACCTTTTGTTCAAGTGAAACCCAAACACTCTAGCACCACGCGCGACAATTTTGTTTTTGGAGACTATAGAGGAGAGAGCGAGGAGAGGCAGCCAGGAGAGAGAGATAGCAGGGAGAGGCAGCCAGCGGAGGGAGTAAGGAGACTGGCTATAGAGGACTAAAAATCCCAGCAATACATTATACAGCAATACAAAATGATATGTAGCTACATACTCTGTGTTGCTCCGGGGTGGCAGCCCTATGTCTCCAGGGTCTCAAGTGGCTTGTGCGGGCTCTCACCTGGGCGGTGCACACTCTCAGGTGGACTCTGCAGGCTCCAAGGTGGACTCTGCGGGTTCTCAGGCAGGCTGTGCGGACTCTCAGGTGGGCTGTGCAGGCTCTCAAGTGGGCTATGTGAACTCTCAAGTGGGCTATGGGAACTATCAGGTGGGCTATGATGAGTCTTTTCCCAAGATTTTAGCTGCAAAACTCTTTAAGAAAATATAAAGAAGCCAGGAGTCTCATTCAAAGTGAATTAAGCTGTTGGAGGGCTGCAAAAAGGCTTGCGAGAGCTATACAATATGTCTGTTAACCAGAGAGGCTGACAGCCACACAGATGACAGATACAAATAGAGACAAGAAGATAGAAATAACAGTTCTGGAAGTTTAAAATTAAAATGCCTCTAATAACAGAGGACTCATGGAAATGTATACAAGAGACCAGACAAAACCCACCTACAAATGAGTAGACAGAGAAAGACAAAAATACTCGATTCCTGATGATGGTCAAGTTGTGCACCTATGCTAGTGGGAAACTGCAAACGAAATGTGAAAGGACAGAAGTACATGAGACTAATTCTTAGCAATAAACTGTACCCAATTAGAAAGCTAACCAGACTAAGAAAATAAAAGGCCAGCATATGCAGGAACATATAAGATGTACCCTAATAATGACACAACACCTGTGAGATCTAGGAGATCTAAGAAATAAAAGACTTTCATAAAGCACAACTACTCTGTGGTGACAGTGTGAGACACTTGTTACAGCACTTGGTGCTCGCCCAGATGATGACCTTACTCTGGAATATGTTTAAGGCAAGCTTGTGATGAATATACTGAATAACTGATGAATAAACTAAAAACAGAAAGAACAAAATGGTGGAAATGCTCCTGCAGTAGAATCTGTGCTAAGAACCAAACACCACAATAGTAGTAATATGCAGAGTGAAACATGCAAATGTTTTTTTGTGCAGAATGACAGGTCACCTAAAGGCAAACTGCAGAACTTGGAAAGCTTGATTGAACAGTGAACAAAAAACTTGTTTGTACAGTGCCACAGCCAGAGCCAGTGTCATGGGGAGAAATGCAAAAGCTACCTGTTCATGAGAAGCTAATGTGGATGATGAAAGCTGCAGACAAAGAGATGGCATTTCTCAACCAGCCATTTCTCAAAAAAACAAATGGGTTTTGAAAGCCAAATATGACTCCGAAAGTCAAGTCCATAAATACAGAGCAAGATTGCTTGCAAAGGGGTACTCACAAAGGTATGGTGAAGACTATGATGCTACTTTTGCTCCTATTGCAAAAACAAAGTACTTTTTAAATCTAGTTGGCTATAGCAGCCCAATGGACAATGATCATGAAACATTATGACATCAAGACAGGTTTACTCAACTGCAACATTGAAGAAGAGTTGTACATGACAAAACCAGAAAGATATGTATGAGCTGATAAAAAACATCTTGTTTATAAGTTACATTGATTATTTTATGGACCTAAGCAGTCTACTAGAGAATGGAATTAAAACATGAATGAAGTCTTATTAGACCAAGGGTACACAAGAAGTATAGCTGATCCATGTCTATACTCTAAATCTACAGGTGGGAAGTGGATTTATCTGCTACTTTATGTTGATGGTTTGATTATTGCTCACAAAGCAAATGAGGAAATTGCACAAATGAGTAGAGCACTTTAGGAGATCTAGAAGATGTGTCCTCCTCCCTATGTATTCAATTACAAAGTGCAGTTAGTCCAGATCTGTGCAGTAATCCGGTCTTGAACCTTTCTTCTGTGCAGGAGCTTCCTGTAATAAAGACAAGTTTACAGCTACTTTCTCTCCTTATGCATGGTGGATGTTCTTGTATCCGCTCCTTCCTGTAGTTTTCTCCAGGCAGCCTGTAGTGGGTGGAGCCTGTTGTGTCCCTTCCACAGCTCTGCTATGTACAGTACTGTGATGATATCACTGCTACTTTTACAAGGTAATATTTGGGTTTGCCAAGGCATTTGGTGCACACAAAGCAGATTTTTTATCCTTTGTTGCTCTTAAAGAATATATTTAAATGCAAGTGTTTGTGCCGTAGTTCAGTTTTAGCAGACAAGTATTGGTATATTTTGAAAGAAACATTTCTTTAGTTTCAGTTAGAGTGGGGAAGAGTTAGTGCATCTCTCAGGTTTTTATTGTTGCTTGTTAACCCTCAATTTTTCTCCTGGTGACCACTTTCACTGGGACAGAAAGTGATAGGACATTTTACAGCTGTCACTGAAAAAAAGGAACTGAAGGGAAATCTTCTAATGAGGACCTGGGAATTCTGTTACAGTTATGGTGAAGGCTTAGAGGAATCTCCTCCAGGACAGGAAGTAAAAAAAAAAAAAAAAAAAATAACAGGGGTTTCAGTTATTGCCTACTCCATCTAGAACTATATAAAACAGGTTTTGGCTATATATAAATATGTGTAACAGAAAGGTGAATCAGAGTAATCATTAAAGATTTTGAAAAACTTTCGACTGGTAGGCTTTCTATGACAGATGAGACTGGTAAAGGAAAAACTCTGGGAACATCATAAAACTTACCCTGGCAGTGAGCCTACCCCACTGCAAAGGTGAGGTGCTTGCTTTGTCTACGGGGCTCAAATAAAGCTGTATTATTCACCAGAACCTCTGTCCCTCCTGGTTGCTAGACCGGTTGTCGCTGTCTCTTCTCTACTGGACTCCCAGGGTTTAAGGATCACTGACGTCATCACATCTTATGCAAGTCCATTCACCTGCATTAGACGTGAGGACGCAGAGGGAGATCCCATAGCAGGAGCGGAAGGGAAGAGATGCCTGTCAGCATTTCTTTCTCCCTGCACACTGTGCTGCGCAAGTGCAACTTAGTGTGCAGACTCCGCATGCTAAGATGATGTAACTCCCGTGCACATGTAAGTCTCCCATAATGTGCTAATATTTCTGTGCATACAAGCTTTATATAGCTCAAAGCAACAGGGGGCCCTTTTTTTTGTCCGACACTTTACTTTCCCTTTAATGCGATCAGAAAGGGTTGAGCAAATGAAAAAGAAATTCAAAGGAATGCTTTGGAGGATGCTTATGTCTCTGTCCATTGTGGCATTAAATATCAATAATACACTTAATATTTTTGTCTGCTACAAGCTTCATTATAAAATGACGTAAACTCTTCTCTCCTGGGTCAGATTAATGAACACAATGGTTAATCAAGTTGGATATTGTGAGTGTGTATACAAGTTGGGCAGGTACCACAGAGGACTTGGCTGGTAGTTACATTTGCAGGTCTGTAAATGTAATAATGTCACTAAAAGCATACTGTTATTGCATTTACAAGTTACAGATCACATAACTGTATATTGTAGGTAATCTTACACCACGACTTCAGGATCTCTTCTATAGGAATCCACTATTTGCTGGAGTGACCTTGCCAGAAATTAAAGAGGTCGAACCTCTTGAAAGACGATATCCTAAGCTTTCTTCTGTCATATTAGATGTAGCCAAGGTATTATTTATTCTTATATACAAATGATTACATGTTAATTGTGATACATGTTTCTGTATATCTTATTCCAGGGGTGGAAAAATTAGTATGGAATTCAGGAGCCAGTCTGTCCAATCTAGGATTCAGCAGGATTATTTTTAGAAGCCGGAGCTATTGACAACAACTGGAGAAAACCTCAAAAGTTGGGCTCCGGCTGTAGTTTTTAAGAAGCATTGGTTTTGGGATTTGTTCAGCTCTGCATTATTATTAATTATAATGTTTGTCTCACTTTCAATATTTAGTGCAGACAAAAGTCATCTAATTGCCCATAGTAATTAAGCAGATTACAACTATCAATTTATTACAGGTTAGAATACAAAAGTTAATACCCTATATGTTTAGGCAATGCTACTATTTAGTAGTAAAGGAGCAGGGCTAACAAAAGCTGCAGCTATGACTGGGACCCAATGGCCTCTGTGCAATCATCTTTGCTTCCTGCTCTTTGCCCAAGGGTTTCACCCATTATAGACCTTAGTCGCTTCTGTGAATGGCTGCCAGTGTGCCATATCATCTCTTAAGAGACGTGAACTGGAATAGCACTAAAACACATCTTAGATTAACTCCAAGAACCTGTAGTATGGTTTACACATTATAACATTGCATATGCAAACCATATTTTTCCTTTTATTAGAAGTATCCCTGCAAAATAAAGTTATTTTTTGACAAGCTGACACCAATTCATTTAGTCTTTTCCCATATTTCTCAAGTCTTTGGGAATCATATGCTAGGCTAGGAGAACCTTCTGCCAGTCATCACTGTTCATCAAATACACACAAAAACAAAACACTTTGAATAGCAAATAATAATAATCATTTTTGTACACATTGTGGGACATGTTGTCTGTGTTAAAGTCTGTAATAATATTCATGCTTTGCTTCACAGAATTAAACTTCTTTTTATCAAGGATCAATAATTTACTTGCAGACAAAGCTGTCCAGAAAAAGTGGCAGTAAGGCCTGGTTCACACCTGGGCGTTTTACAGAGCATTCCTACGCGCTGTAAAACGCTCAACATGTGAAAATCAATGATTGCCTATGGGCATGGTTCCCACCGGAGCGTTTTACAGTGCGTAGGAACGCGCTGCAAAACGCCCTACGCCCAAAGAAGTATAGGAGCTTCTTTGGTGCGTTTTTCCACGCGTTTCCATTGGTATTCCCGAGTGTCGATCGGTGTTAAGAAAACGGTAACCCCGAGCCACACTCGGGAATACAGCGTACAGGTCTTACCTTGTCCGCGATCCCCGCTGTTTCCTCCGGCGGCTGCCGACTTCCGTGTTCCGTCCCTTGCGAGTGACCGCGTCGCAGGGGGGCGGAGCCGGCGGGAAGTTTAAAAGTAAAACAAAAACAAAAAATGTTTTTAAAAATAGAGAAAATAAAGGAAAAAAAACCCAAAAAATCATACCGCCAGTGAAACGTGCGTTTCACTGAACGGAAAAACGCGCTAAAACAACGAGCTGAAAAAATACGCTCAGGTGTCAACCCAGCCTACAGGGGTTGGGACAAACCCCTTTAAACTATTGCTCCAACTGCTGAATCAACCCCTGGCATTATTATAGTTTTGCCATTACCTTAAGCTGTCACTTTTTCTGACAGACAGCTTAGTCTGCACGTACATTTAAAACAGAATTAAATTTGTGCTGAATACGATGATTACATGTACTAAATGCAAACTGATATCAGAGTACAATATTTTATGACAACTGACTTTGAATTAAGATGTGTTAAATTTACTTACAGGGCTATTCACAAAAGGGTGAAGAGTTTGGAGAAGTGAACAATCTAGCACAACATTTGGAAAAATTCTCCAATTCAGCTCACTTTCCAGTTCAGCTATGTTGTCCTAGATACTTCACTTCCTGTCTTCTCCAAACTCTTCACCCTTTTGTGAGTAACCCCCTTAGACTCTACTGAAAAGCTTAAAAACACCATGGTTAAAAATACTCATTACAGTATTTTAAAATATCTATTAACTTGTGTTGCAGAATTGCTTACAAATTGACCCAGACAAGAGGCCACCCTGCGTGACCTTGCTGCAGCACGATCTGTTTAAGAAAGATGGCTTCTCTGAAAGGTGTGTTTAAAAATCACAATCAGTGTCATAACAATATGAAAGTCTTGAGCTGCCATATTTTCTTTATGTTTTCCTTCTGAAAGGAAATCTCTTTAGCGTCACCACATGATGTTTTTGCAAATGCATATTTGTTGGCTTAACAACCTGAAGGTAAATCTTTCATATGTCCAATGAGACTGTCCCACTAGCAAGTGCACTGTCATCGGACATGATAATGGTTGCTGCCATTACCTATTTGCAAATACCTCCATACTCTCTCCAGTAGCAAGTACTAAGTAGTCAAGGATCAGCAACATGTGTGGATGTCAACCTGTGACCCTCATCGTTTTGCTACTCAGACACTTATATGATTATAAAATAAAATAAATATTATATAAAATAAAAATACCTGCTGACTAAGCATAATTATGGCTCCTTCTGTTTCCTTGTAAAGGTACTCTCAGGAAATCAGTGCAAAAGTTCAGAAGCTTTCCAAAGATATTCAATCACAACCTAAGAAACCAAAAAACGTTAAGAAAGAAAAAGATGATTACCCAGGTGAAAAGAAAGCCCTGGCACTACAGGTACAATAAGGTTATTTGCTTACACATCGCAGAAGTGCAAGTGTGCAGTAATTCATGAGAAATTGTGAGAAATTGGGAAATTTGCCTCTTTGAAAAATCTACCATAGTGCAAAACTCTGTTATATTCCTGTCTGGGCTTGGCAGCGAGTGATACAGACTTTTTTTAAGGTCAGAGTTGTGACAGCAGATGCTGTAAATAGTGCTTGTTTTGGTTAATGTATATGGTGGTGGCTAACATGTGTTTGTAAGGGGTTAGCGGCTTAACCTGCCCCAGTGAAAAATACTCTCAATCTACTGGTGCTTACTTAGATTGTTGTCCTGCAAGGTGGAAAATCACTTCACAGGGTAAAGCTGAGAGTGTAAGATGTCACAGAAACCTCTGTAGAAGAAAATAAAATATAAAGACGAGAAACTGTAAAGGAAACAACAAGGGGGCTGCATAGGTTGGTCTCTTTCTGAAAATGCTAGTCCCCTGCTTCAGATTTTACACCGCTTATAATTTGAGGCATACATGCTTTGCATTCTGAAGCCAGAGACAGGAAGGTAGCTAGTATTTTTAGAAAAAGGTCAGAAAAGACAGTCTCTATATTTCTCTTATGAAATGTATTTGTTGTCTTATTTACAATTGACGCTTACTTGAATCCAACACAGTAGAAACTTGCTCTTCTCAGTTGTTAGCATCAGGATCCATGAGCACAGAAACACTCATAATAATATAAATGTTACTAAAGAAATAATATAAAATAAAATAAAAAAACTAAAAAATACAATACCAGAATCATGAATTTTACTATGGAACAGTTTTCAGAACATGAAACAAATAATTGATCCAATATTTTTATTTTTTCTTGCAGGATTTCAATATTGATCACAAAGTGAAGGAGACTAAGCCTTTAAAGGTGAAAATAATTAAAATGGATTCAGAAAAAGCTGAGAGGACCGATGGGGCATCTAATGCTAGTGGTTTATTTACTGGAGCCACTAATCAGGGCAGGATGGTACCTCACGTCACACTAAAAGAGTCAAGCAACAGCCTAGATCACCATAAAAGCCCAGTTGGAATAATTCCTCCAATAAGCTACAACCTCACTGCCATCTCTCCGTATTTATCTTCCAATGCCACTGCATCATCTGGCTCCAGTCATGTTAGTTTCAGGTAATTTGAACTCTGTGGTTTTGTTTTTAACTTTAGTGGCCAATTACATTAGCTTGACTCCCCAATGCTTTTATCCAAGCGTGGTTAATATTTGTACTACACTAAGTGGCCAAATGTTTGTGGACGCCTTACCATCACATGAACTAATGACCAGAATTAGATGGTCAAATACATTTTAGACAATTGCGTGCTTTCAACATTGTTGTAACAGTTCGGCAAAGGCCCTTTTGTGTTTCACCATGACTGTGCCCCGTGCACAAAACCAGATTGATAAAAACATTTTTGTTATGACCAGTTTGGTGTGGAGGAACTTAAATCGAATGTATAGAGACGTGACCTCCACCCCATTAAACACCTTTGAAATGGAATTGTGATTGCGAGCCAGGCTTCCTGTCAAACATCAGCACCTGACCTCACAAGCCTCTTGTGGCTTGATGGACACTAATTCCCACAGACATGCTCCAAAATCTAGTGGAAAACTTTCCCAGAAGAGTGGAGGCTAGTATGCTACAAAGGTGATGAGGGGTGTGACGAAATGGTGATCAGTTTTATGAGGTAAATGTGTATTGGGGTTGAGTTATGTTTGAGTGCGTTATGCTGTGTGACCTGGTTAGGGAAAGACTATCAGCACCATCCCTCGTTATCTCCCATTGTTCTCTGAGGGAGCTCAGAACAATGACATTCTGGCCAGGCTCTTGCTATGGCTGTCTGGAGTTCATAGAAGAGGTGGTATGACCGGTCAGCCAGGGAATGCACCTTCCAAGTAGGGCAAAAGGTACTAGTACTTAAACCGGTTAAGCAGAACAAGCTCCAGGCAGCATGGCAGGGACCGTACAAGATCATTGAACAGCTTTGCGACACCACCTACATAGCAGCCCGATGCTCGGATGAAAGGGTCCAACGAACCTTTCATGTGAACATGCTGAAGCCATACCATAGGGAATGGAGCAGCCTCCTATTAATAACCAAGGTTCTGAAACAAGCTCACACTGTATAGGCGTCCATAAGCTTGTGCCCACATAGGAATATATTTAAAAAGCAGTGACTATGATATTCACCACTTATTCCCTTGAAAAAATACCCCCATAGTGTATATTAAAAGAAAAATATTTTGCATGTGAAACATCATTTAAATATTCTGTAAATAATATATTTAAGCTTGGCCATAATAATCAATTACATTTCTTCGGTCATATTTGAAATGTACAGAAATATGTCATATGGCACCACTGGAGCGAGGAAGGTAAGTAGCGGTTGTTACATTTAGCAAGCAATGTCCATGCATATCATGCCTAAAGTTTTCTGAGAGTTTTCTGCATTAGATAATTTGCACGCTACAGTGACAATTCCTTAATTTGCTATTTGCTAATCAACCTAGAGTTCATGAACTCTATGAAACCACTCAACCTACAGCATGTTCTTGCATACAGCGCTTAAAGGAGAATTAAGGGGTGAGTGAAAAACACTCATCCCCATAATTCAAGCTGACTTGTGACACTGAAGCTGTCACAGGTCAGCTCTATTGATCGGGAAGTCAGCGAACACATACCACAGATCGCTGACTTCCCGATCCTCTCCCTCCAGAGAGTGGTGACTGTCAGTCACCACTCCCCGCAGGGATTTCCCCCTCCCCGCAGGGATTCCCCCCTCCCCTCTCCATTTCTCTAGCCAGCTGTGAATCAGGCAGCGGGGTGGATCTCAACAGTATTGTCAGGATCCGGTACGGCTGCGGCGCGGCTCTGCGCTCTCAGCATATAGCTGGCAATAGCCATACTGAGTTTTGGGTCACCAGAGGAGATTAGTAAATGTTCTTCCTGTGACCCTCAAGACAACTATGGCCAAAAAGGGTTAGGCCATAGTTCTCCTTTCATTTATCTAAGATTTAATTATTCTATATCCTATATGTTAAGGCATGTTCTTTTCATTTTATTTCAGGGGAGAAGAAAAGGGTAAAATGTTTGTAAGCAGTTTCAAAATAAATGGAGGAAGAACTTCACAAGGAAATCCTTATAATCCAAATCTTTCAAGTCTGGTAAAGTCATACATATTCTTTCATGAACAAACATTGCAGGGCTTAGATGATACAGTAACCCATTGAAACCAATCAACTACTATCTTTCTCTGTTTTTATGGATGAAAGGAAAATCTGATAGCTATGGACTTCTGTATGTTACATGCTATCATACTTTTTTGCAATGTCTATTTTAGTAAATAAACCCTAATTTCTCAGTCATATGCATATAACAATTTGTCACCCAGAATATACAGTATGTACAGATGGATACCACAGAAGGCAGAGCTTAAAAGAGTATTAATCATTATTGTAAGATCAGCTGGCAACCTAAAGTAGCTATGCACACCATATTATTGCAAATGATAATATTGCCTTTCCTACTGTACCTCGGAGGTTACCAAACTGTATACTGTATACTGTAATATTGCGGGCCCTCCTTATAATGAGGCATCCTGAGTGGTGAATACCATAGGGACAGCCCTGGCGGTGAAATCCATAGGGACAGCCCTGGTAATACTTTATGTAAATCCTATGTGTCACGCAAACACATACCCCTAATATTGCATGCACACTGAACATGGGCAAAACTGTTCCAATGGAAAAAACAGCAACATATCAACTTTTTATTTAAAAAAAAAAAAAACTCTCTTCACTTAGTTTTCAGTACTTTTCTGGTTTCTTTTCAACGTTTCTGGTTTCTGTTCAAAACTATAAACCAACTGTAAATATACTCTTCTTCAGACACTGTACTATAATGTAAAAAAAAGCAAACCAGCAATGAACTGGAGATTCATTAGAAACAATGCATTTTGTTTTGGATATAATATTGCAAATGTGGAAAAGCAGTGATGTTGTGGAAATGTTGTGGGGTAAAAGAGCTCCCTCTAGTGGCTGATTTACAAATTTCCTTTTCTCTTAAGGCCTCATTCACACTGGGTGTACACGTTCGTGCAGATTGCACGCCCGTAAACAGCTGATACCGGGAGGGAAAGAGGCTGCGTGTGCTTGCGCGCAGCAGCCTGTTCTTCCCTATGGGAGGACGCAGCTGTATGGTGTCATGCGGACACCCGAACTGTACACGTTCGTGTGGCGTGCACGCCCGTAAACAGCCAATACCGGGAGGGACAGGTGCTGCGTGTGCTTGCGCGCAGCAGCCTGTTCTTCCCTATGGGATGATGAAGGTACGGGTCTATGAGGGTACGGGTATCCGCACTTGCACGCAGACAGAATCTGTCCCTCCCCAGATCAGCTGTTTATGGGCGTGTATGCCCAGTGTGAATGGGGCCTAATACAATAGCAAAATTATGAAATATGTAAAAAATTTGTCTAAGAAATACATTAAGGCAAAATTAAATTCAAAATATGTGTGCACTAAAAAGACACTATAGTTTCCCTTTTAAGGCAAGTCAGTTTTGCACTTCAGCAGTCTTTTAATGCTTCCATTATTGGCTTCGTTTATATCATTGGGTTTTCATGTGCAAGTACAACACACCATTTTTACTCAATAAAGCAAAGTAAAACACCTTTGATCTAAATCACACTCAATGACTCTGATATGAATTTCACAACAGGTTGCCAATGAAAAGAGCCTTCTTCAACTAAACAAGAAAAAATGGGAGTTTTCACGAGCCGACATGAGGCTGCCAGAGTTGAGCTATGGTCATTTACCAGAACTTAAAGGCACAGAAGGATGTAACTTCTATAGTGGTATGTATTTATCGCATTCTTTCAGCTCTTCAGAGCTATTAATTAATCTTATTAAAGTATATGCCCTTTCAGCTACTGTTTACTTAGAACACCCTCGGTTGGGTTACCTTACTCAGGTAATTGTGTATTACTTTCTTTCCAGCAGCACTTACGTGTGCATAAATATTTATCAAATAATCTGCTTTTGAATAAATAAAAATACTTAGGTCCACTTCACACGGTGCACAGATCCCCTGCTGATCAGAATGGATGTCACCGTTGTGGGTCCAGTTTTTTTCCTCCATCCTCCATGTTAGTCTATGGGAAATCCGATGTAAACAGACAGGGCCCTCCTTGCCATCTTGTCTTGAATTGTATTGTAATTGTAATGTCTTCCTTATACGGTAACATGTTGCGCAAACTGTTGGCGCTATATAAAACCTGTATAATAATAATAATAATGTGTACAGTCAGATTGTAATGGTGAGCTTCAGGGATTGCAGGTGCAAGAGTCTACCTAATGAACAACAATTTCTTTAAAATGTCTTATTTTAATTTCATAATACACTCCACTGAAATGACAGCGCAGAGCGGTTTTACTCTGAAAATGAGACCATTCTACCCTCAGATTTTAGATGGCAGTGTCTTAGTTGCTGTGCCTTAGATATGGCAAAAAAACCCTAAAAATCAGGTTAGGTTACAATATGACAGTGAACCTACTGTATGTAATAACCAAAAATTCCATGTGTTTTACATTTTATTAGGGATGTACCGATACCGGTTTTTCGGTATCGAGTACAGGTACCGATATTTATATTTCGGTACTCGCTGATATTAAGTACAGATGCTACTATTCCATTAGCATGGAAGGTTACCCAGGCAACTGGGTAACTAGGTTACCCGGGCAATCAAGAAGACGCCTGCCGCCCGGCTTCCTGATTGACCAGGCAGCTGTCTCCATGTTCCCTCGCTGCGTTGCCGGTCAGAGGAAATCTCCCTTTGACCGGAAGATCCGGTGTCGGGGGTAGGTATTGGAGCATTTGGGCAAGTACTTGCCCAAATACTCAGTATCGGCTAGGATACTGATACTACTATCAGTATCGGTGCATCCCTTCTTTTTATACTTCTACAGTAATTAGTAACTAGAAATTCAAAGCATATCTAAACCCAAACAAAAATGTAATAGAGTGTGGCTTGCCTGTCCTTAGATGTGATGGCTGCATTAGTTTTCCTATTTCAGGCTGCTTTCCCTTTATTTTCACCTAGTAATCCTTTGAATAACACACCTCCTGTCCCGCGGTGACTAAATTCACTCACTCTACTATGTCCATGGAGAGAGCCATGGTTGTTACTCAGGCTGGACTTCAGCCAGGTCCGTGTTTGTTCATCTCGATTCCATGAGAGCAGGGGGATTATTTAACTTACAGAATACAGTATATTATTTTATACTTCCAGTGCATCGCAGAACCTGGCCTTGGGGCGGCAGGGAGAGTAAATCCGGCCCTGGGTGTATCCCTACTTAAAAATATAATGCATTGCTGGGACTTGTAGTCCTACATAGTTGGAGATATTCTGCATTGCTGTATGATGATTATACAGCAATGCTGAATAGCATTAACTATGTGGGACTACAAGTCCCAGCAATACATTATAATAAGTCAGCTATGCAGAATGCCACCAGCATCCCCCCCCCCACTATAATGCATTGCTGGAACTTGTAGTCCCACATAGTTAATGCTATTCAGCATTGCTGTATAATCATCATACAGCAATGCAGAATATCACCAGCTATGCTGGACTACAAGTCCCAGCAATACATTATAATAAGTCAGCTATGCAGAATGCCACCAGCATCCCCCCCCCCACTATAATTCATTGCTGGGACTTGTAGTCCTACATAGTTGAAGCTACTCTGCGTTGCTGTATAATCATCATACATCAGCGGTGGCGAACCTATGGCACGCGTGGCAGAGTGGGCACGTGGGGGGGCCCCCTCTGCTGGCACGCGAACCCAGGTCCGCATTACCAAAGGGACACAGCGATAGCGGTCCCAGTCCAATTAATATTGTTATACAGTAGTTCCCTCTCTCCCCTGCTGAACTGACAGCAATAGAGAGGGGACTATTTTACCATTTTCGGCTGCCGCGGGGGAACACGGAGAGCAGCGGCAGCCGACAATTAAGTATTCAAAGCCTGTATTCATTAAATACAAAGCCTGCCGTGATTGGCTCAGCGCTGAGTCAGTCACGGCAGG